AAAGAGTTCATTTCCACACTCTTATCCTCATTTTTCGTTTCGAGTAGGCCATATATCTTTTTCCCTACACAATAATTATTCTATAATCTGTTAATTCCAATAGCCGACTTAACATAATCAGCAAACACCAGAATCTGTAGTGCAGGGATCCTGAAAAGCACGATTAGAATGACATATCAAGTAAGCCATATATATTCGTTGGTGTAAATAGTAGAGTAATGGTGAAAGAGAATTGTTTTTATTTCTAGAGTTTGTTTGAGGGATGTGATTAGGTGATCATAGTTGTGAGATTTGCAGGGTTCTCATATGTAAAAAGGCCCTACAATGAGAAGTTGTGTAGGAGCACAAGGCGGAGGTGCGGTATGGCTGTAATCTGTGTCCAAGCCAATTCCTTTTCTCTGTTTTCCAGCTAATAGGCCATTGCATCTGCGGAATTAGCAACAAGATCGTTGAAGGCCTTTGCGTTGATTGTGATTTTAGGTGCTGGCCTATGGAGCTCAGACACAAAAGAGGGTCATGCAGAATTGGAGATGACGTCTCAGTTACCAGGTTGCCGAGCGTTGGGTCCTTCCACGGGCAAGATGATGAGCGGATACGATAAGATATGAAAACTGCTAAGAAAAGTTGGGTTTCAAGGAATCTCTTGTTTCACAATTGTTGAACTTACTTCCATTTCGAGTAGAAGTGTTGGGTGAAGAGATGTGAAGGTCGGTTCCACCAGAAAACGACAGGAGATTCCTCCTGGCTCTACTGGAAGATTCATGCTGACGCTGTTTCCGAGGCAATCTCCTTCGATTCCGGTGAACACGTGCAAAGCTTTCTTCCGTCATATGACTGACATCATCAGAGCGAGGTAACATCGTCACAACAAAATTCAAGCTAACGAGTCAAGAAAACTCACCGGTAAATCCTTAAAAAGTGGTATATATACTCTACATATGGCCTCTTTGATCAAGTATAAAGTAATTTGGTTAGTTAAAGTCATATGTCAACTTTGATGCATGTGAGTGTGTCTGTCTCTGTATGTGTATGTCCTTGATCAAAGAGGCCA